TTCCATCTGCTCCCTGCCTGAAGAAGGAAAACACTTTCCGGGCCCCTTTTGCCCTTCCCAGTCCCGTGGTGTCCTTTCTGGTTCTCGACGTTTCCCCAAGACCAGGGAGCCAAGCAGCCCTTCCGCTCATTGTGCACCTCGCTGGCCTGGGCGCATCCCTTGAGCGGGCAGTTTTCTCCTCTTCCCAACGACACGGCGCGGCTGCAGGGAGCCGTTCCCTGACACTCGGCCATGGTGGAGCGGAGCATTTCCCCGCTCGCAGTGCGAGTCATTCCGTCTGCTCCAGGGGCTTGGTCTCCCACTTCTGCTTTTCCGACGGAGGTCCCCTTAGGTTAGATTGGCCTGTGTCTGGTGGATTTCTAACCCGCACGCTTCTAGCCCATGCGGCCAGGCGCTCTCTGGGTGGGAAGATGTTCCTTTAGGGCTGTGGCCCTGCTGTACGAGCAATAAGACCGTGGTTTGTATTTTCAGAAGAAACCTGTTTGGTTGAGGCAGAGGCGTGTGAGACGGGGTTAGGAGCGCAGGTGGCCCAGTGACGTAGACAGTAATGCAGTCGTGCCAGCGAGCAGGACTAAGGGGCAAGGTGCCAGGCCGCACCAGCAGCCCGGGTGACAGCGTGGAGGAGGCTCGCTTGTTCCCCTTCAATCACTGCGTGCCTCTGAGCGGTGGTGCATGCCGAGGGAAGGAGGGGAGAGGAGGCCGGCGTTGTCAGGAGCGGTTAAGAAATGCATTTGTCAACAGGACAATCCAGAGAGGAGGGGAGGATCCTGCTGGCACCACAGCAGAGCTGTGTTGGGGAATGCTCAGCAGAGGGCCAGTCGGGGGGAGATAGCTAAATGTAAATATTTATGCCCCTCTGCCATTTTTAAGTGCTCCCAGGTGGGGATGCTCATCCTAGAGCCTGTTGAGTCACTCACATATTGCCATAGGAGCCCCTTGACTTTGTCCTGGTTTGTAGTTTCCAAGTGTTTAGTAGGATGGGTGGGTCCTTTTTGGAGTGTTTCTTGAGGATGGGTGCAATTGGAGAGAGCTTCCTCTGCTGCCGCCTGTTCAGGCTCACCCCTCTGTTGCTGTTAGATAGTGGCTGCATGTTACGCCATGTCTCCACTTGCTGTGCCGGTAATCGATCTTCTGGCATTCGATTTAGTGGGTCTAGTTAAGACCCTCTGAATCAAACGCTGAGGGTGGTGGCTCTGGTTGGCAACAGTACCCCTTACAGTCGTCGGCTTCCCTTAATCCTCACGGGAGCATTTGCTCCCATCGGTTTCCATCTGTGAAGATGGCACCAAGCTATTTTACGTAGCTGGAGTTGCGTACCTTAACCTGACCTTTCAGGTCTAATGTAGACCTGGCCTCAATCAAAGTCTTCGATGGAATATTTTTCAAACAAATGGAATATCAGGGTAAGCAGGTGGCGCATGGTCCTGTGATGAGGTTAATTTCCAGTGTGGTGCACATCTTATTTAAAATGGAAAAGGGCCCATTTCACAAAGCAGAAAACAATTGAGCCAACTCAGCTGAGAGAGAGAATTGAAACAGAAAAATGTGAATGGTAATTGGGAATTGTTTAAGAACGATTTGCTAAATGCTCAGAAAAAACGAGAGAGAGAGAGAGAGCCACAATAGTTAAAAATCTACTTTGCTTTGCAGAGAAGTGAAAGCAGCTAGAAAAGAATTATATATGAACACAAATGGGAGAAAGGGGACATTGATAATAATTAATTAAAGCAGAAGCTAAGAACTGTGGGAAGCAAAAGGACACAAGGAAAATGTCTGTGGACAGCAGCATTAAGGAAGAAATTTAAGAACAGGTGGAAATAGTAGAATTGTCAATGCAGAAAAGGCAGAATAGTTCAAATATTTCCATGCTGTATTTGGGGGGGGGGAAAGCTGGATGATGAGTCCTATATGATCAGTTTCACATTTTCCTGTGTTACTGTTGGAATGGAAAGAGCAGCTTCTAAAGCTAGATACTTTTAAATCAGAAGATTTGGGTAACATGCATCCAAGAGTTTTAAAAGAGCTGACCAAGGAGTCTTTTGAACTGTTATTGTTGGTTTTTCAAAAGTGTTGGAACATTGTGGAAGTTCCTGAAGACAAGAAGAAAAATAATGTGCCAATATTTAAAAGGATAAGCTGGACAGCCCAGGCTGTGTCGGTCTGACATCAATCCAAGGAAAATAAAGGAATGACCGATAATGGGCTTGATTAATAAAGAATTAAAGGAGGGTTCTTTTATGCCAATCAACGTGAATTAATGGAAAACCGATCCTATCTAATTAACTTAATATCTTTATTGATGAGATTACATGTTTGGTTGATAAAGTTAATGTGACAATATACTTAGACTTCTGAAAGGCATTTGAATTAGTATGACATGATGTTTTGATTAAGAAACAAGAATCAGAATCAACCTGGTAACCAGTAAATATATTACAAGCTGGGAAAGCCTCACTGAGCAGCTGTTTCCAGTGGTGTCTACTGGGATCGATTCTTGGCCCTCTGCTAATAATTCATATTTTTTTATCAATGATCTGGAAAAAAACACAATTTGCAGATGATACAGGGATTTGAGGAGTGGTAAATAATAAAGGGGCCGGATCACTGATACAGAGCGATCAGTTGATAGGTTGGATGCAAGTAAACGATGTGTGTTTCCATACTCAATGTAAGATCTTGCATCTCAAGACAGAGAACAGAGGCCATGCTGGCAGGATGAGGGACTTGGTTCTGCAAAGTGGTGGCTCTGGACAGGGCTGGGGTCCTGGTGGATAATCCGCTGAACACAAAACAGTATGACACTAGACAAAAAGGGCTAATGTAATTGTTGGAATCGTAAACGGGCATCCTGACCAGGGCTAGGGAGAGTATTGTATCTCTGTGGCGCGGGGTTAGCCGGCAATGGAATACAGTCTTGAGTTCTGGTGCCCACGGTTCAGGAAGGATGCTGGTAAACTGGAGAGGGTTCAGAGAAGAGCCACGAGAACGAGTTAAAGGATTGGAAAACCTGCCTTGTCGTGAGAGATTCAAGGAGCTCAAAGTTTTCAGAGTGACTTGGTGACAACCTATAAATACCTACGTGGAAACCAGAAACTTGGCAATGCATGGCTCTTCAGTCGAGCAAACAAGGATACAAGATATCATGGCTGGAAGGTGGAACTAGACAAATTCAGATTAGATGCAAATTGGTAACAACAGTGAGGATAATTAATCATTGGAACAATTGACTAAAAGATGAGCTCCATTCTCCATTGCTGGCCACTTGGAAATCAAGAATGGATGTTTTTCTACAAGATCCGCATTAGTTCAATTAGAAATGAAATCAGGGAAGTTAGGCAGAGGATCCGGGGGCCCTTCTGGCCTTGTCTGTGAACCTATAACAAGTCCAGCAAAGTCCATCTCCTGTCTCCCTCCCTCCCTCTCCCCACATGTACACTGCAGGAGTTTCTTTCTGGGATACGAGTACTTTGGCTCAGACCTTTTGCATCTTCTCTGTGCTGCGGAGCAAGAGGATCTCTGAGCTTTGAAAGGCTGGTGACTTCGTAGAGTGCTGTCTGGGGCTGCGGTTCTGAAAGGCACAGGTGGACTCTGCCACACTTTGTGGTATTGCCGTGCGTGCTAACATCCGTGTCTTCACCAACCTAAATGGTGCTGGCTGTTGAAGGTACAGTGTCCACACGTCCTCCCCCAGTGTCTGACAACGGTGTGGCTCACTGCCAGGACTCCCTTGGTGCTCCTGAGAATAACTGGATGGATGGTGTAGGGTGGAGTCTCTTTGGAAATCCACGCACTGTGGGGTGAGTTCAAGATGGCAGGGATTCAGGGGGTTCAACATTTTCGTAAGTATCAGGCAGCAGAATGAGTTAGAGGAAAGAAACTGCACTTGAGAGGCTTGTATTCAGACTGGACAAGTCACTTTCCTGCCCTCTGCCTCAGTTTCCCTTACCATGGTACTGACGTATGCCGACACAGCTATTCAGAGCGTTTGTGAAGTGCTTGCTCGTGAGCCTTCTCCCAGAGGTAGTAGGGAAGAGCCGGTGGCAGCAGTGAGGGTGATGCCGATGGTTCTCCACAGTTTGTATTTAGGTGGCTTTTCTTGTTTCCCTTTCCAGGTTTGGGAGATGTTCCTCAGCCCCAGAGTTCCCCGGATCAGCGTCTTCATGGCAGTCCCCACTATTTACAGCAAGCTGATGGAGCATTACGACAGGCATTTCTCTCAGCCTCACGTGCAGGATTTCGTACGTGCCGTGTGCCAGGACAACATCAGGTAGCCAAAGGAGCGCTCAGCCTCTTAAGGGCAGGACTTGGGGAGTGCATCATCCCCCATATAAACGGTGAGCCGTCCTGTGGCACTGGAAGGACGAACACATTTATTTGGGCATCAGGATTGTGGGCTGGAACCCACTTCGTCAGATGCATGAAGTGGGAACTTCAGCGTGGCAGGCAGGCGAGCGCATGCAAAGGTGGGAGTGTTTCTTCACCACGTGGGCGTGGCCAGCTCCCCGGGGAACGTAATTTTCCCTTTTTTGGGGATTTTCACCTTCTCAACTGTGGGGAGGGGGCCACATCCGCCCTGACTGAATGACCCTCGGTAGCACTATGGTCCTTCACGTGGTCCTGGGACACTCCCTTCTTTGCGTGCGTCGAGATGCCTGCCAAACACAAGTTGGCATTTCGTGCGTCTGACGACGTGGCCTCCTGCCCACAAGACTTATGCCCAGATCAATGTGTTTCGTCGTCAGGGTACCACAGGACTCCTGGCTTTTGCTGAAACGGGGCTACCTTCCTGAGACGCTCACGCTGCCCCAGCGTCCCTGAGCTGGAGCAGGCTGTGAGGGGAGGGAGGGAAGGAGGAGTGGAGCCCTTGGAGCTGTGTGCAGAGCCTGGCAGACGGGTAGCTCCAGCAGTGAGTAGACTGGGTTGTAGGATGTCATTCTGGAGAGCATCCTATTGGGTGTGGCACCAGGTTCCACTTCGAGCCTGTGGCAGGCGGCCTCTGGCTCTGTTAAAAGCCCCTCATTCCGTACGGGCTTGCAGGCCCGGCCCCGAAGCCCAGATGGGTAGCAGTCACATCCGGGCAGAGGGGCTGGTTTCAGCCTGGCCCTGCTGGACTTTTTTCTAAATGTGACCACACTAAGGATGGAAGTGACTGGTCGACTACCCAACAAACAAATGCTGATCGGGTAGGCGAGTAGGAACTCGACTAGTTACTTCCCCCCCACCCCTC